TTCCAGCGTCTTCCACTTGAGCAGAGTCAAGGCTGAGGCTGTGGGTGACATCAACTAAGCCCTTGCGCTGGTCAATGGTAAAGTGGACACCACTTTCAATGGGTGACTCATTAAGGAACCTAAAATAAATTGTGGAAATGTTAAGATGAAATATATTTTATATAGATTATTCATTTTCTTATCCAAATTTTAAAAAAAATAGATAATTTTTTATGCAAATTAATAATTTGGAAAATAAAAATATTAAATTAATACTGTTAAAATATTTGTTTGAAAAAGTTTTTTTCATTTAAGTACAGGTAATGATAAATGAGATAACAAAACTCTATTGATAAGTACAGATAGAGACAATGAGTGTTCTAATGATATATACATAACTCTTGTCACACAGATAGAGACAATGAGTGTTCTAATGATATATACATAACTCTTGTCACACAGATAGAGACAATGAGTGTTATAATGATATATACATGAACTCTTGTCACAACGATGTGAGGAAATGAACTTACCAAGACACTTCAGGTTGTGGAAGCCCAGTTACTGAACATTCAAACTTAACGGGTCGACCTTCCTTGCATTCTCGTTTGATGAGTGGTCGAGTGAAAACTGGAGCTTCTGTTTTGCCTGAAATGATTCATTTTTAAATCATAGGTTATAATACTTTGCTTACATTTAATTAAGACAAAAAAATGATTTGAATAAAATATTGACTTTTTTTTCTTTGTATGAATGGTTAGGAAATAGTCTTTTATGTTTAGATCCTCTTCTTACCATTCTTTCAATAAAATAGTTGAAAAAAAAATGTACTCACCTTCCACCACAACACGACAGATGCATTCAGTGGAGCCTGCCGAGTTGGTAGCCACACACTTGTAGGTTCCTTCCTGGTCTAATTTGACAGTCGAGATCTTCAGCTTGACCAGTTCATCCTCATAGGTCAGTAAGACATTGGGTGTCTTCACCAGCTCCTTGTCATCCCTAAGATGTCATTTTTATTTGTTATAAATGTTTCCAATATTAATAATATCAAACAAGGTTCAAATGTATAAATATCAAACACGGTTCAAATGTATAAATATCAAACAAACTTGAACTATGCTGTTGGTAAGTATCAAGTTAACTAAATATTACTAGGAGCACACTATTGTTATGACCAATCAAAAAGGTCAGATTGTGGTAGCACTTAACAAAAAGCTTAAATTTAACAAAATTGGTATCAAGCTTTGTTGTCTTTGACCAACCAGCCTACTTTGCTACATCGGTTTATGTATCTCAACCATTGCTGTCACTATTATTCTTTACTTACTTGTACCAAATGACTTCTGGGCGAGGCAGACCGGTCACACGGGCTGTCAGTAAAAGGGAATTCTGTTCCATCACAGTCTGTTGTTGGAATATAAAAATAATAATTAAAAAAAGGCAAAGTATGCAAATCAAGAGGAAACGTCTTCATTATCTATATCGAGTACTGATCCAGAGTGAAGTGAAATCTACTGAGATTCAATTTTATTATAAATAAACGTTAGGGTTTTTTAAAGCGTTTTAAAAGTTGTCATGTGATTACACCACTTACAGTGTCATTGAATGTTTCAATGAATTTTGGTGGCCTGGTTTCTTCTGGTGTTTTCAGTAAAAGAGGTGATTCTGACAATCTTTCTTCTCTTGGGATTTCTAAAGAAAAAATGACATAATCATGAACATATATTTGAAGGATTTTCTTTTCACGTGCCTATGTTTTATACTAAATTCTTATACTCTAATGTGAACTAAAACTTTACTCTCAGTTACAGCCTAACGTTTATATATTTTGATGATTGACATTAAAGTAGGTTACATAATGATTCATACATAAAAAGCAGTGTTTAAAACAAGTTTATATGTTTACAATTTTTGGACTGGGGGAAAATTCTAATTTAAACCAGCTTTGCTTTGAAACATTAAGATTATCCAATATTTTTACCTTTGACAACAAGAGGAATCTCAACACTGGCCTTGCCTTCTGGATTTTGTGCAACACATGTGTACACCCCAGCATCCTCTTTTTCTGTGTCTTTAATTTCAAAGCAGTAAGTGTCTTCATAGCTCTCAAAGTGATACAACTCAACATCCTCCAGAATTTCCTTTTCTCTGATCCAAGTGACTGTAAACATTCAATGATATGTTTGAAAAACCACATGTCTTTTTAAGACTGTTCCGTCATTGAAGCCATTGTATATTATTAAAGAGGAGTAATCAACAAAACCTTACCTCCTCTAAGTTTGTTATATTTTTAAAAATGATGTTAAGTGTTAATTCTAAAAGCTCAATTACTTTGATTTGCTTTTTAAGTGCTTTTTAACAACAACAAAAATACTGTGCTCAATATATTTTAGCATAATTAAAATTAAAATTAGGATCAGCTACCAGCTGTCTTTAATGGGTTGGAACTACACATCACATATTCATGTTTACACACTGAATCCACCTGTGGGACGGTGTGGGTTAATTGGTGGAAAGTCTGGAAGTAGGGTGGGGGCTCAGTGTGCAGACTAAATTTATAATAATATAATTTATCTGTTGTCAATTATTTCATTTTAGGTCACACTTGTCAATTTTTCTTAGAACCCACCTATGTAAAATGATACTTAAATAAATAAATTTTGCTGTTCCTATAAAATGACTTCAACTAAGTAGCAATAAATTGAGGCTTGTTGCATGAATGATTGTAAAAGTCTGAGTAGGCTGAAAAGTCACTGAGATAATTTATTACTAAATAAGAAATTACCTTCAGGCTTGGGCTGTCCAATAACTTTCACTAAAAATTTGGCAGAGTCGTGTTCCCTGGCTGTAACTTTCTCAGGTACTTTAATAAATTCTGGAGCAAGTCCCTTCTCTTCTGGTTGTTCTGTCACAATAGTAAAAAACATGGCCTTGACAATCTGAACTATTTTTTTTTTTACAACAACATCTTCTATAATGCCTAATAATACAACAAATTGATGTTTTAAATTACTGCAATTACTTCTTCTCAGTCAGTATCATTCCTAATGATGCTTAAGTCATTTCTAAGCATGCCCGTCTTAAGCCAAACTCTCTAGCTAAATCTCTTTCTTCTCAGTTCCCATTGCCCCTTTGTGCATGTACCAGATTTAATTGAAGCCACCTCTAAAAGGTATTTGGAAGTACATGGCATCCTCTCCCTACTTAGATTACTTTGCAGATTTCTACAACTTTTCCCATCCCATCTAACACATGCCAAATGAGAAAACAATAATGCACAGGTGTTTCTTGGGGAACTCTTCATTAAGAATCTTTTGTTGCATAATGCAAAACGGAACTGATAGTATTTTTTTGTTGATTAACGAGGGAAAAAAAAATTCCAGATCATAAAGCCTTTCTGGAGTTGCTTTCGTTGATTACCTTCTACAAAGAGATCAGCCTTGCACATGTCAGTGCCAGCCTCATTCCTGGCTTCACAAGTGTAGGTTGCATCATCTTCAGGGAGCACACTCTCAATGACCAGAGTACTCTCCCCATCAGCTGGATAAGTGATTTTATACTGCTGTTGGTCAGGACTGATTGGTTTGTCATCCTTAAACCACTGTAGTTGAGGAACAGGCTGACCAATGGCCTTGCAGGTGAGAGCGACCTTCTCTCCAACAGGTGTTTCCACAGTTTTTATGGGTACAATGAATTTTGGAGCTTGGAGTTCCGGCTTCTTCACAGCTGGAACTTCTGGAAATTATTGGATTATTTATTATATTTGCGTATATGAAAGTTTTATGGATTATTAGCATATACAGAAAAAAAAAATCTATTCAAGATTTTGTTTGTTTCTTATTGAATTACTGGAAAGTCCCTCGTACCTTTTATTAGCAGCTCTGCATTGCAAGAGACTTCCCCGAGATCATTGCGTGCAATGGCCGTGTACTGACCAATATCTTCTGGGACAACCTCAAAGACCTCCAAGTGGTGAATGCCGTCCTCCTCAAAGATCACATATCTTCCTTCATCCTCCAAGACAATGTTGTTGAAAACCCATGTCAGCTCTGGGGCTGGTTTGCCTGTAACTTTACAGGTGAAGTCAGCTGTTTCTCCAGGTGAAACCTGTGAAATTTATTATCACTCTAAATGTATGAACTCTTTCAGGCAAACCCATATTTTAATGAATCAAAATATTCTCAGAGGAACAGTGAAAAAGGATGCAAAATCAAATTATTTCAAACTTAATGAAAATTAAAAAAAACTATACACAGAGGGGGTGTCAATTAATCCACCTTCCTCAGGTGATGTACCTCTAGGCCCTCGGCCTATTTAACAGTTTTATCTAATCCAAATTGACATTTTCACATCAAAAACTCTACCGTCTGTTGTTTGATGGTCAGCACAAATTCTGGGGCTATTCCTTCTGGTCTGGGCTTGATGGTCACTTCTTCTGAAACAGTATCCTCTGGAACAACCTCTTCTGGAATTGTCTCTTCTACAAATATCTCCTCTTGGACAGTTTCCTCAGGCACAATCTCCTCTGGAATAACCTCTTCTGAAATGATCTCTTCTACAAAGATCTCCTCTTGAACAGTTTCCTCAGGCACAATCTCCTCTGGAACAACCTCTTCAGCTGAAATTTACATAAATATAATAACTAAATGCCTTATGCAAACCATAATAAAAAAAAACAATTCCAATCTCTCCTCTGGGGCACTCACTCACGTGTATTAGTCAATTGCTTTGAATTCACCAACATTGATCTTTCCTTGTCTCATATATATATTTTTAACATATATTTTTTAAAGTTCTGTTTTTTTTGTTTTTTGGCTGACACCTTTCTCTTAACTTTCACTCACTTAATAGTGCCCCTCTATCATCTCCTGATCCCTTATTAATTTAAAGTGGATCCTAACAGTGTTTAGAGTGAAGCGAGATGGCATCCTTTATTAAAAACATATGACATAGTGCCAATGGAATGTGGTGAATCTTTTATAATTCAATAACTGTGTTGAATGAGAGCATATGTCTTTCTAAACTGAAACCAAATACTTACGTTTGCTAACAGTCACGTCAATATCACAGCTATCTGAGCCGGTGTCATTAGTGATGACCAGGGTGAATATAGCACTATCCGACACCTGAGACCTGGGTATGGTCAAGGTCACTGTCTCTGAAGCTGTGCTGATCAAGTGGCGGTCATCCACTGAGAGTATTTGACCATCGACTGACCATTCAACCTTGGGTTGTGGGGTGCCCTCAATGGTGATGACCAGTTCCACAGTTTCCCCTTCCAGGACAGCCACAGGCTGGGGTTTGGTGAGTATACGAGCTGGAACTGTTGTAACAGAAGTGGTCAGTGCATGATATCAACATAAAGGTCACTGAGGTTCTTGCTCCTTTGTAAGCTCATTGGTATGCCAGTTCAATAGTGATTTAAGAAACCATTAAGATTATATGTGATTTTAAAAAAAGCTAAGACCAATGTAAAAAAAAGTACAATTTGTAGTATGTTTCTAAAAGTGTTGTAATTACAACTAAATAGTTATTTTAAAGATAGATGTCAGTATGAAGTATTTCACTCTGTTTCATAAATAAAAAAAATGTTCATTGTTTTTACTATGATTAAGCTAAAGATCACTCTTCAGTTGAATGTAGTTAAATGTGTGAAACTTATTGAATTAAGAGCATTCTAGAATTGTTAACTGCACTTTTAGTTATGCTATATAACAATTGCAGCAATTTTGTATTTAATTTGAAAAAATGTATGATAAAGAGTTACATTTTTTTTTTTAAATATATGTTTTAATAACCCTTGTACAGTTGAACTTGTTGATAAATCAATTGCCTTAGAAGTTAGAGGATATATATATTTCTTGACAAATGGATTAGTTTACGTGTTGAATTGATAGCATAATTGAAAAAATTAAACAAACTTCTGTTGATGACTGATATTAACAGTCATTTCTGTATGACATAAGATTTTCGGAATGCTTTACATTACCTCAATGATCAATGGTTTATCATCATCTCAGAAATAGTGAAAACATGCAATGTGAACCATGACACTGTGAGGAGGTGATGTGTCAGGCGTTTGTTTAGTGGGCTACTCATGCTGGGTTAGTTTTGATGCTAGTAGGACTGTTAGTGTTCACAAATGTTCTTTGAAGGTAACCCATGAATAGTTTTTTTTTGGTCAAGTTTTCTCTGTTTGTTACCAAAGCTTACACTATTTTCAAGGTCATGAAGATCAGTGGCAAAATAAATAACAACAATTAAAATAAAAGCCTAATATCAAGATTTGACAACAGTAATGATATGTAAAACTTAACTTTGAAACTTGTTTTGTTTACAAGCTGATAACTTTCATACCATTCAGAGGAAAAGTGAAAAAGCTTAACAAGATTGCTTTATTATAAAAATTTATTGGCCAAAGCTGAATATTGTTCATGAGAGCAAAAAAAAAGCAAGTAAAAATTTGTAGAAGCTTTTTGTGAAACTAAAAATAGAAAAAAAAAATGTTAACAAATTTAATGCTTGGCTTAATTTACATAAAATTTAAGACATAATGCAGTGTCAATGCTTAAGTAACTTTGAAATATGAAAATTAAGTACAAAACATGTATTTATTTATAAAAAACAAATTTCCATGAAATTACCAGATCACTAAATATATTATATACATTACAAAATGCAAACCAAGGAGATCAATTATAATTATAGATTGTAATTTATTTATTGATTGGTATCTTAAATAAGACTTTGTAAAAATCTTACTCAATAATATTGAAATGTTTTCAGATAATTAATGGCAGTTAATTTATTTATTTACTAGGAGTTAGAACCTTTTATTTCATATCATAATATTGAAGTAGTTTAAATATAACTATCAAATTGATTGGTTTTATCTGGTTAAGGTTAGTCAATATTTTATTGTTATATTAATGAGCCTTTCAAAAGTCTTGTCAAATTATTCTATTTGAATATTTTAATAACAATATATCTTATTTTTAACCATTAGCCACAAATTAAGGAGCATTATGTTTGATCAATCTTTCTTTCAATTTATGATCTGGCACTTATAACAGCGTCTTGTAATTAAACAGGCACAACAATTAAACACATATGTATATAATAAATTATTATATATTACTTTCTTTATAAGATATACGTAGTATTAGAAGAATATGGCACAATAATTTTGAAGCCTATGAAAAATGCTCTTACAGATTTTAAATATCACATATTAAAGAAGCTATGAGCTCTTTATAAACTACAGTAAATTTTGAGTTTCAAATCCTTACTTCCCCTTATTCAGTGTACTGGTATTCACTAATTGCATCCCCTGCAATCAACAAATCCATACAAAGCGTGCTACTGCATTGTACTGATACCCTGTACATTTTATGTACAATATCATCAAGTTATTCCATACAAGGGATAAAAATACTGACATAAAAGAAGAGAATTATATTTAAAAACTAACAGTAGTTATTTATCTCAATCAGCGCTTGATATGAAGACATTAGCTGCTACAATTTAAAAACAAATAAAATTAATGGAAAATATTTTTGTTTCTTAAAAATTGTGTAAAAAACACACTTAAACCAAAACTTGATCGCTCATAATTTGTTTATTTAACCATCAACCCCTTTATATTGGTATGTGTTGTAACATATTGGTGTATGTACACACATTTTTAATGGGTAAATTTGAAATATCTTTCATGTAAAAATAAAGTATTTAGCACCCCACAAACATGACAATTTTAGTAAATGTAATGCTGTGTGTAAAGGTGTAAATAAAATAAATTGACTATTAAAGGCAATTCAAGCAGTTCAGATAGATAGATCCCCCATGCTGATGAGAAAGCTCAAGTGATGAAATTGGTGCACCTTATAACCTTAAGTAAGAAAGTGTTATCATTTTAAGGTGCAAATATTTTTTTTAAACCTGTTTTATCATCCACTAAATAATATTTAATTATACAAATGGTATTTGTTCATAAAATATAATCTACATTGTAACTGTGAAAGCCTTCAAAATGCATTCTGTATTTCTAAGCTTAAGTACACAAAAAAACCTAATCGAATGATTTGTACCCCTTGAGTTATTCATGGATTAAAACAAAAAATTCATGGTTAATATTAATATATACATGCAAGTGATGAAACAAGTTAATTGAAATCAAACTGGATTAATAATGAACAAAATCATGTTTAGATGATCAGTGGTATACACATATCAGCAGCTCCGAATAAGATGAGGTGTATGTTCACACAACAACATTTGTCTAGAGGATATGTTGAGGGGTATTGTAGGATTATAATGGCACATAGAGCTATTGTATAATGGGTGCAAGGTCTGACATTTCAGCACTGAAATTAGCATATGGGGTGATGTTAATAAAGATACTAGGTCCAAACAGATGGATGATGAACTGGTTATTTGGGGAGAAACAGAGTTATGTGTCATGGCCACACTTTTAGTAGGGAACCAACCTTGTGGTAGTAGCCTAGCACTGGTAGAAGCCTCCCCTGCAAGATTGGTGGCTTTACAGGTGTATTCCACTTTGGTGTCTTTCAAAGTCACATTGAGAATTCTCAGCACGGCCGATGTGTCTTTGTATATTATTTTGTATTTAGGACCTTCGGTGACAGGGGCGTCGTCTGCCAGCCACTGGACCTCAGGTTGAGGAATGCCAGTGACCTCACATCGAAGCTCGGCTGCATCCTTGATGGTGGCCGGTGTATCTGAGAGAGGCTGGATGAACTGTGGTGCCTGCAATGTCACCGTGACATTGCCTGTGCATGATGTCATGCCATGTTTGTTGCTGAGGGTCACTGTGAACTCGCCAATATCCTCAGGCCCTGCCTGTTCAATGATGAGTCGCACAGTGTTTTTAACATACTCAGTTCTGGTAAAGAAATAAATGAACAATTAAAATGCTATTATTAACTGACATAGTTTTCCCAGCATCAGTCTCTCAAAAATTAAAAAAAAATGTTTGGTTATCTTAAAAATAAAAATTTCCTTTACATTCTTTAGAATTACTGAAATTTTAAACCAAAGCAAATTTGTAAAAAATCAAATGTTAAATGATCTTACAATGGTAACATCTATTGAATAAACTAATATGAATAAAATGAGTGAGTTGCTTGTGCTGACAATTTTTTAAAATGTATCTGTTATAATGGCATAATGATATGATATGGTACCACTGTTATGGGTAAGGAATTAAAACTTTAATTGAAATCATCATTCAAATGTCTTGAATATTATTTTGTTAAAGGTACATCAACAGGTAAACACATACAACTATTATGAGATTTCATGGTGTATTGCGATATTGATACAGAAATATAACTGCATATATAATGTGTGGTAATTTGTTTCACTTTATTTTAAAAAACTCTAGAGTTAGTCCAACCATCCAAATTAACAATGGTCACAAAATAGCAAACATTGAAACACAGTATTTTCCATTATTCAACACCTTTTAATTACAGAGGCACACTCATAATTATGTTACAAAATAAGTTATTTTGACTCACCTGTAGCGGGTGTCGGTTATTTTCTGACCTCTGAACAGCCAAACCACATCAGGTTTAGGTTCACCTTTAACCACTGCCTCAAGGATGACAGGGGCGGCAAAATCAACCGTGATGTCGGTAAAGGTGGATACAAAAGAAGGCACTTCTCCTGGGTAATAAACAATTAGTTCGAATGAAATAAACAAAAATGGTTTAAACCTAAGTCAAACAGTTTTGACATAATTTCGGTAACATCATAGTGAAATGGGCAATGTAGTGGAAGAAGTTACAAAATTGTATCTTTATTAGTTTGTCAAATCTATTGAAATTTATAAATGATCATTTTACTTGAAAAACTGGGATGGTTGTGGTGATCTCAAAAGTAACAAAAGCACAAGCTCCCATTTAAAGAATAAATCAAATCATTTAAAAATACATTTTTATTTGGAAATTCATGCTATAGGAAAATCCAGTGCCTTACCTGCAGGGTTGACAAATAATTCAGCTGTGGCTGAAACACTTCCTACAGTATTTGTTGCAGTGACTGTGTACTCGGCATCATCTTCCGTCGTCACATCAGTTATGGTTAGAGAGTATGCTGTATCAACTTCGGCTATCTCATGGCGGTCATCAGGGACAATTTCAACATCATCACGGAACCTATGAAAAACAATATGGAGTTAAACATGGAAATGTTGCATTTTTTGGAAAAGTCTTTGAGTATTTAAAAAAAATTTAAACTTATACATTGTTCATTTCTCAGTTTTAACATTTGATATTTAACAATTTCTTAACTCATT